AACCCATCTCAAGATCCTTAACTTGATCACATGTACAAAATCCCATTTGCTGTGTAAGGTAACACCTTTACAGGTTTGGGGGATTAGGATGTGGGCATATTTAGGGGAAGACATTAAAACGGAAATGCCAACAGGCCCTCGGATATCATGACAAGTCTAGGGAGAGGTCAGCTCAAAAAAGAAATGGTGAGAGGAAGAAGAGGGGATGGGTGCTCAGTGAGAGAGCTGAGAGGGGGCACACAGGGCAGAGGACTCAAGCCTGAGGAAGGCCCACTCTCCTGCAGTTTTTCCACACATGTTTATAAAGGACCTACTCCGGGCCAGCAAGGAACTGGGTGCTATGGTGAACTCAGAAATGAATCAAATTCAGCCTTGGCTGGGTAGCTCAGTTGGGGGGTTAGAGCATTGTCCCGATATGCCAAGGTTGCGGGTTGAATCCCTGCCTGGTCAGGGCACATACAAAAATCAACCAATGAATGCATAAATAAGTGGAACAAATTGATGTTTCTCTCCCTTCCTTCCTTCTTCTCTCTCAAATAAAGTTAAAAAAAAAAAGAAATGACTCAAATGCAAATAACTCTAGAGGAGCTCACCACCAAACTGTGCACACACAAAGAACATGATGGAAGTCAATGAGCCATGCATGATAGAGTCAACAAGATATGGATGAAAAGACTTGTATGAAGAATAGCTTTCATGAAGTGGTGGCATTTTGACCTCAGTAAGAGGAGCAGTAAAGAAGTTTCTAGAAGTAAAGGGAGTGAACCAAGGGAGTGCACCAGAGACAGTGAGGGAGAAGTGTCTGGAAAGAAGGGATTGTCAGCAGGATTCAAAGCTACAGCAGCATCAAGGAGGAAAGAAGCCTCCATATGGCCACTGGTGCACCTTAATGGCCTGTGAGGGTGTGAGTCCTGCCTGTTGGCCTCCCACAGCCGCAGGGATGAGCAGGGATATGGGGGTTGAGGGATCATTAGCTCACCAGGCCCCTGAATGTTCAAATCTTACCACCAGGGGGGGTACAAGAGCCAAAGTGGACCCTCATCCTGAACCAGGGTTTTTTCCAGAAACAGGATGCCCTGAGGAAAGGGGGAGGGTTTACCCCATCCCAGCACCACAAAGCCTGGAAGGCCTCACGTCTCCATGTGATCTCTGACTCAGGGGATTACCCAGATTTTCCCCTTCCAGCTAAAGCAAACCATATTTTTTCCATTCTCTCCTTTTCCTGGTTGCCTGTAGAACTAAACAGCTGGTCACAAACACACTTTGGCCCCAAGGCTATTGCACTGTAGAATATCAAAGTGCTTGTGGTACAGGTGAGGAGACTGAGGCCCAGAGAGAGCAAGTGACTTGTCCAAATAAATAAAAGCGTCTGATCAAGAACAGAGCTCAGATTCCTCACTCACACTATAAGGACCCCTTTGAGTATATGAAATTTAGTCTTTCACCACCCCTCCCATTGTTTCTTTTTTTTTTTTTTTAAGTACATTTTACTGATTCTTTACAGGGAGGAAGAGCGAGGGACAGAGAGTTAGAAACATCGATCAGCTGCCTCCTGCACACCCTCCACTGGGGACGTGCCCGCAACCAAGGCACATGCCCCTGACCGGAATCGAACCTGGGACCCTTCAGTCCGCAGGCCGACGCTCTATCCACTGAGCCAAACTGGTCAGGGCTCCCCATTGTTTCTTGAGTGTAAATAATAATAGTAACAGTAACAACAGCCAATATTACTTGAGCATTTCTGGGGCAGGCACTTTATTAAGCCTAGCTGTGGATTACCTTATTCAATACTCACAATTACCCTAAGACTGTGGTTGGCAAACCGCGACTCGAGAGCCACATGCGGCTCTTTGGCCTCTTGAGTGTGGCTCTTCCACAAAATACCACGTGCGGGCGCGCACATACAATGCGATTGAAACTTCGTGGCCCATGTGCAGAAGTCGGTGTTCTGTGGAAGAGCCACACTAAGGGGCCAAAGAGCTGCATGTGGCTCGCGAGCCACAGTTTGCCGAGCTGCAGTTTGCCGACCACTGCCCTAAGACGTCATTTCTATTATATGCATAAACATTTACTAAATTCCTCCCAACTGTGCTTGTTAATGGAGGAGAGAGGCAAATAGAATATAAAATGACAAAGTATTTTCTTTCCTTAGACCTGTTCTCCCAAGATGGGTGAACTCTGATGTCCAGCACAATGGATCATTGTCTGCGTTTCTACCACCCACGTGCCTCACATATTTCTATGTCCCAACCATCCTCATGAACACTGGCTTGGGTAATGCATTACCAAAATTCCTCTGCTTCGCTGCTCTTGGCATTGGGCAACCCCGTTTTCTCTGCTCCTACCTCCTTCTCCTTTGTTTTCAGGCTCACCCACTATTGGCAGTTTCCAGGCACAGCCAGCGGCCTGTGCTTTCACAGGTTCCTTTACACAGGTTCTGCGCCTTTACACAGGTTCCTTCTGCCTTGAATTCCCTCCTGGGCTTATCTGCTGACTTGCTCTCTCCAGAGTCAGTTGCTGCATGTCCCCTGCACTGGGAAGCCTCTCTCCAGACTCAGGCAGAGTTGGGGACACAACCTGTGCCTCCACCTGTACCTGGGCAACATCACCTGGAGCAAAGATTCCATGGGCTACACATGAAGGTTAGAGGTCGTTTCATCTCAGCATACCGCACAGCATGTGAAATATAGCAGGTGTTCAAGACACGTTAGAGCAGTGGTTCTCAACCTTGACTGCACATTAGAATCACCTGGGAATCTTTTTAAAATCCTGATTTCTGGGCCTCATCCTCCGGAAATTCTGTTTCTTTGTTATGGGGTAGGGCCACAGCATTAGTAACAAAGAAACAGAATTTCTGGAGGATGAGGCCCAGAAATCAGGATTTTAAAAAGATTCCCAGGTGATTCTAATGTGCAGCCACGGTTGAGAACCACTGCGTTAGAGTAAGCAAAAATAAACAACGTTCACAATCTGCTTCCTGCTGCCCCAACTGCAATATCCCTTGTCCCCTCCTCTGGTTTTGCTGCATTCTCTCTGGTCTCACCCCACTGCCCCACTTTAGCTCATTTCTCTGTTTCTCACCAGTCAATGGCCTCCTAACGGATCTCCACACAATCCTCCGCTCCCCTTTCATCTCCTGCTGCTTCTCTCCCATCACCACATTGTTGGTCCCCAAGTGCCACATCTCAACTTTCTAATTCACCAAAGCTCTGAGCCAAGTCCTGAACATACAAACAATGGTCCCTACCCTCAATGGGACAACTGCCTGCCTCTCCTGCCCTCCTCCATCCACTACCTAAGGTACAGGTAGGGATTGAACTAAATCACACAGCCCCTTAAACCCTTCAGTGGCCCCCTCACCTCAAAATGCAAAGTCCAGAGCCAGGTGGCTCCTCTGCACCCTGCTCCTTGCACCTCCCCTTACACATCCCACACTGTGAACTCCAGCCCCCAGGCTTTACCCAGGATTCTCTGGGTCTGCAATAACTTTACTTGTGGTTCTGGAGCACTGCTTTCAAGTCTGGGTGAGAGGCCCCTCCTTTTAACATCCCCACCACCACCACCACCATCTCTCTCTCTCTCTCTCTCTCTCTCTCTCTCTCTCTCTCACACACACACACACACACACACACACACACACACAGCACTTTGATCCCCCTGTCCGGCTGCCTGAATCCCTCCCCAAGTGGACTCAGAGCTCCTGGAGGTCAAAAACAGGACCAGCTCCTTCCTGTTCCTAATAATAGGCCCTCATAAGTAGAGAGTGAAAAGTGTTTTGAATGAATAAGTAAATGAGACTAACTTGCAGTGAAAATAAACAACTAAATAAGAGTTATGAAATGCTAACACTGGCTTTTCCTGGCAGGTGAATTGTTTGCTTGTTGATATTGTCTGATGTTTCTGTAAGGGGTGGGTCTTGCTTTTGCAATACTAAAAAAAAAAAAAAAAAAAAAAAAACACTAAAGGGAACTTCACTTTGATAAAAAGAAATAACAAGGGGTTTGAGGATTGAAGACTTCAAAAGAAGGAGGAATCTCCTCTTTTGGGTGAAAAACTAGAAAGAAATGTTTAAGAAGCCATGGAATTTCTACAAGTGAAGAGGGGAGGAACCGCCTGCCGGAAGGCGCGCGCAGAGCTGGGTGCAGGTGTGGGTGCCAGGTGGCGCAGAGTGTTCCTTTACAGATGCAAGATGAGAAATTTCAACTTCCGTCATTGAATGGAGGGAGGCAGACAGCTTCTGAGCAGAGGAGAAACACGCTCCGCACTCCGCATCCGGAGCAGTAAAGAGCTAGCACTGGGCAAAGTCCTACCGGCAAGGGCGAGGGTGCTGTGGCGTGGAGGCCAGAGCAGAAGCCCAGCTACAACTCTCTCTTCTCCTCTGGGGGAACCAAACCGCAAGTCCAGGAAGCGCCCCCGGACTGCCCGGTCCTCTCTCTGCCTTACTACTCTTCGGTGACGGGCATTTGAGAATAACTCCCATAAACCGCCCACCTATCTTCCCACCTGGACGACAGCGCGTCTAACTCCTCCTGCCCCACAAGAGGTGCCAAATACGAGTGTGCTCAACGAGGGAAGGTTTTCAAGGAGACATAACGCCTGGCAGCTCCCCTTCAAACCGAGGCCGAAACCAGCAGTGCCCCCACCGTGCGGACAGCGGGCCTGGGGGGCCGGGACTCTACCCCGACTACCTGACCGGGGGAAGGTCTCCCAAAGTAGAGGCTCCCGCGGGCAGGCCGGACTCTACACGGCGAGGTGAGGCTCCCATATAACTCAGGTAGAAGCAGCAGGGCTTGGGGGTCCGGGGAGGTGGGAGGGACGTGGGGGGAGCAGGCTGAACCGGAGCCCTCGCGGGGAAAGAGGGAAGGGCGGGTCTGGGGGAC